GGACTGCACGTAGCGCCCGTCCTCCGCCTGGCCACAGGCCATCTTGCCGAAAGATCCGACCGCTCGCATGCAGTCACATCACATGCGCTCTACCCGCCTCCTGCTGCTGGGCTGGGCACAAGGGCTCTGACCCGGCGCGCCCCAGCCTGGACAGGACAAAAAGGAAATGCAAGCAGCTGGAGCTCGATACCTGCAAGGCGCCGAAGGCTGCCTGTGCTTAACACGTGCAGTAGACTCAGAAATCTGAAGCGTTCCAGCAACGCAGGTTCATCATCTGGGGGAATCAAAAGGACATGACACAGGCAAACAACGATTTGCTATGATCAGGTTCCTCGCGCCTGCCTACGCAGTTCCCGTTAGAGTTGTGTCAGAATCCAAGAGCTGTTTCGCCTTGGCGGCATACTGGAGGCACGGCGGTACACGCGAACCATAGGCTCCTCCTCGCACGGTTCTCTGCAGGCCATTGGCATCTTGTGTGAGAGATGTCAACAAAATCTCTTCCTCTGAATTTGAAAGGTTTGCTATTAGCTGTGCAGGTCGTCATCCCAATAGTCATAGCAATAGCAATAATAACAATAATAAGGATAAGAATAATAATAGTTTTTGTGATAATAGTAATACCATAGCAATAGTAACTGTAAAAGCCAATCCCATGAACTGTCCAGGCTGGTTTGGGGATCAGGGTTGAGGGTCTCGGGTCTAGGTTTTGGGGTGTAGGGCTTAAGATTTAGGATTTAGGGTTTAGGAATTAGGGTTCAGGGCTCAGGGTCTAAAGTCTAGGGTGGGGTAAATCGCTGAACCCTATCACCCTGCATGGAACGATTGACATAACCATGACTAGGTGGCTGCACGGCCAACATATAAAGACCAAAATCCTGAAACACGAGTCAATGCGCTCGGCTAATCGGCCACTCGGCTACTCAAGAACGAATTCAAATCTTGGCACTCATGGACTGCTGCTTGCCTGCACCGTGATGAAGGTGTTTCGATAGTCCAACTCCAGAGACATCCTGTTCTACAGCTTGCTCTGCACAGTTCTGAGATGTTCTAGTACACACTCATGCACCATATTTGTCCACCAAATCAGAACACATCCATTCATGCCTGCATCCTTCACAAAATGCACAAGCATCCAATACCAAGTACCAAGCATTGTGCGGGGCTCAATCGGCTCAAGGTCTGTCTGGTGCACCTGTGTGGTAGCAACCAGCGGCGAGACCCACACTTTCAATGACAGGTATTATCATTATTAAAACTAGTACTAGCACTATTACTATTACTCTTACTAATTCCTGTTACTATTGTTATTACTGTTACTATTGCTATTACTATCACTAGTATTTTTACTGTTACTATGACTATTCCTGTTGCTGCTATTACTGTTTTTAGAATGCACGCTTGCCGTTCTAAGTTGTTCCAGCTAAGGCACAGTTACGCAGGTCTGCTGCGAAGAGCGGTTTCAGAGCTTCTGTGTTCTCGAGCCAACCAGCACGTAGCCAGCGGACCAAAACATATATCCTATCATCCTCATATAATCCCTATATAGTCTCTTTAATCCCTGTAGTTTCCATTTTCTTTTCCATTACCCCTAGATATAACCCCAATATATTCCCCATCGCTGAAAGCTTCATGAGCAAGACCTCCAGCATTTAATTTCATCTGGCTTTGTGCTGAGGGACACGAAACCATGGCATTAGAAACAATCAGAGACTAAGGGCCGTTTATCTGCAGCGGCTCCTTTTTGGTAGCTCCCTTGAGACCAATGATCGCCATGCTGGATCACACGTGGAATCCTGTATCGTGGAGTAGACATGAGAAAGCCAAACCACTGAGTGCTTGATAAATTCCAGCAGCTCAGTCCCTGAGGAGGGGATTTGCCCAACCTCCTCAGACCGGAAAGGCATAACACTCACCCACGATGGCAGATGCTGGGCAACATGCTCTCAAAGTTCATTCCGCAGACAGCTTGGACATAGATCTGGTGACGAAGACAGAAGGTTGTTGGTTCCAGCATACCAGCCTCAACCTGTAATGAGGTTTGATCTCTTGATTGCAAGTCGACCGCCGACGTTGCAAACACGCAGTTCAACAAGCTTCTCTGGGTAGACCCGTCAGGGTGCACTCCGAGGCTTGAAGGGAGGGAGAGGGCCACAAGGCTGCAGTCCAAGCATATGCTGGCCGCAGCTGGAGGGCCTCTGCCTGCCTAATTGCAAAGACACTGCCAGAGCCCGCTGCCCAGGTATCTCTAGGAAGCAGACTGCGACACACTTTCAAAGAGCCCGTCTTATAAAGCTGTGATAGAAATGGCAACAAGGTGCAAATTTTAGGGCTGGATAAGATTATAACTTCAGTGCCGGCAGTTCGAGAAGATAGAGCTTCGCGAGTGACACGTATGATCACAGCGTGCACTCTATGGACTCCGTCAAGGAATATCCGCAAGTCGGAAGGAAATGAGAAAGGATTGTGCTGAGCCACAGAAGACACCTTCACGGCAGAGCAAAGCCAAAAAACAATTTGCAGTGCAGGCAACTCAGGGCGGTTATCAGGCCCTCCAGAAGCCCAGCTGGAAAGCCTTGAAACGATTCAGGCCAACTTTTCGCGCAAGGAGTGCACCTTCTCCTTGCACTTCTCAACAAAGCCTGGGTCAAGGTTTACGCGAGACGTCAGACTCGCAACGCTGAAGAAGGTCATCCGGGTCAATGCCTTCTCGAGGCTCATGACCCTGGCTTTGGAGACCTTGCTGGTAGTTGGCTTCAGCTGGGCGAGCTGCGCTTTGAAAAGCTGCAACACATCTTGGGCGTCCAGTTCGAAACGCCCCTCTGCTGCTTTACCTCGCAGGCTGCGCAGCAGCATTGACAAGAACTCATGTCGGCTCATCTCCTTGATCAGCTGCCGTTGCCCCTTGTCCAAAGTTGAGGACCGGTTGTTGTGGGGCAAATGGCAGAAGTTGCAGTCCCCCTGATTGGTGCACTGGCCCATGGCAAAGTAGATGCAGGGCCTTCGACACAACTCTGGGTGTCCAGCACTGCCAGGATTGCATTTGCTTTCTGTTTGCTGGCTTTCTTGGGTTGACACACTACTCATAGAGGGCATCTTCTCCACAGGGATATCGTTCGTGAAAAAAACTTCAGGCCCTGGAGTCCACGCTTGGAAGAGCGGCTCCAGCTTCTTCTGCAAAGACTGCACGTAGCGGCCATCCTCCACCTGTGTCAGGTTGCTTTAAAGTCACCCAAAAACTTATATAGCGGTTATATAGGGATTATAGGGTATATGTTGGGGTCATCTATATATATATATGTGAAAATGGCAAGGATAACGTAAACTACTATAAACTACTATATTGCATATTCGCAGCACAAGTCATCACAAGTCTGCCTCCTGCTCCTGAGCAGCGCAAAGCGGGTCTCTTGCTGTGAGCCTTCAAGCTTGCGTGTCTGATTTAGGGTTTAGGGTTTAGGGTTCAGGGTTTAGGGTTTACGGTTCAGGGTTTAGGGTTTAGGATTTTGGGTTCAGGGTTTAGGGTGTAGGGTTTGAGAAGTTGTTCAAATGAAGGCGAGGCTACGCAGCAGGATCTTTGCTTCTTGCGCACTTGTAGTCCCCTTGAAGTAGATAGAGTATGGGGTGTACGGGGATCGTATTAGCATATACCCAAAGCCATATTCTATCTACTTAAGGGGGACTAGAACCCTAAACCCTAAATAGTAGTTTCCATTTTCTTTTCCATTATCGCAATATATCCGACATATTCTATCTACTTAAGGGGAACTATAAGCCACTGCCCACACCCGGACCCTTCGCAAAGTTGTCCCTCTCTGACCCGACACTGTCCCTAAACCCTAAACCCCAAACCCTAAACCCTAAACCCCCAAACCCTAAACCCTAAGAGCCTTGGCGGCACGCTTGCTGCTCGGCGCCGAAGCTCAACCAGAGGCTCCTCCTGGCAGACAACTCTGAAAAATGAAGGATGGTATAGGGGTTTGGGTACCCATTAGGGTAATATTAGGGTTATATTGGGGTTATCTAATATATTTGTAACATATTACAAGGAGAAGGATGGTAGGAATTACTATGTTTGTCATTATTGTTGTTATCGTTGTTATCATTGTTCTTAGTATTCTTGTGTTATCATTCTTATTATTGCTAGTATCATTGTTATTATTGCTACTGTTATTATTGTTATTGTTATAATTGTTGTCATTCTTCCTTGTAACTGTAGGGTTTAGGTACTCTAGGGATCATGCACAAAATGGAAGCTATTACTGAGGGTTTAGGGAAGGCTTGGGACAGTCGTTGGTGGATAGCTTCTTAGAGACTTACTTCAACATATGTTTAAAAATCCGTGCTGAGACACCGGTCTTAGATTTTTTTCTGAAAAAACTGTCCAACATCTGATATGAACTGAGAGGGAAGTTTACAAAAATGAAACAAAAAGAATAAGAATTCTGACCTCTAGGCAGTACTTGCTCAGTGCTTGAGATGCCAAAATCAACTTATTGCATGATGCTGCTAATAACTTGGATCTGAAGCGAGGAGGTGCCAAGACCTCGAATGTGGCTTAAGTAGGTATGCGTTACAGGAGACTTCTCAAAACAACCTGCATGCCGACATTGCGCAGGATCTACAAAAAACCGTCGGGAAGTGAATCCATGTGCTCGCAAAAGAAATCCCTCATGCCCTGATCCTGCTCCACGCGCCCAGTTTAGCTGACTCTGATTCCGGGGAAGAACACAACGTGCTTGGGGCGAGGACTTGATGATCTTCTCAGATTCAAGATCTGCATAGCGTGGGTGAAGACTCTGCCAACTCTGCAGAAAGTCGCCTGCAAAGTGATGAAGGTGAAGCGGTAGTCCAACTCAAGAGACATCTCCTGCCGGCAGGCTTTCTTTCCCACATGAGCAAGTCAGAAGTAGGTTCTATACTAAACTATAAGAGAGACCAGCATGTCCACCCTTAATGGTCCCCCCGGAAGGCTGTAGTAGCTCACATGAGAGCGGTGCTTGACATGTTTGAGGCCATAAAAGATCCTAGGTGACCTTGATGTGTTCTTTGGTTCACCAGGTCTTGGTGCTCATTCAAAACACCAAACACCGTCCTTCTCGTATCTCGAGCAGAAGGAGGCTAAAGATGTTGGTTGGGTCTTGGAATGCTCCGTGGCTTGAGCTCTGAAATATTGCGGCACAGATCAAGCTGAATCTTCTGGAGAAGGATTGAATCACGCATCTCCAGCATAGTCAGTCTGAAAAAATCAGCAAGTGCGCGGACTGCTCTTTCAAAACAGTTCTTCACCTATGGGCTGTTCTCAAAATTGTTTAGGGGTACCAAAATGAGACCCTAATTTTCGGAACTACCCTAAACCCTAAACCCTAAATAGTAGCTTTCATTTTCTTTTCCATTATCCCTTTATATTCCCTATATAACCTCAACATTAGCCCAACAGCAACACGGGCGCACAGCACCCTCTTGGCCAGCGAGGTTGGGAGTTCTGCTGCCTCAGATTGCTGCCAGAACTTCGGCACTGTGGTAGGGTTATTATATATACAGGGAATATACATACGTATATACAGATTATGGGGAATAAATGGGGGGATGGAAAATATAGGGAATATACATAAATAGCAAATATATGTATATATACAGTTGATAGGGAATAAATAGAAGGTATGATCCGGACTCCTTTTGTTCTGGCCCAGAATGGTCCAGGGGATTACCATGGTATGTTGGGGTTACATAGGGATAACGGACAAGAGAATGGAAACTACTATCATAGGGTATATATTAGGGTTATAATACGGTATATACAGATTTAGATGTGAGTGCCACCAGAGAAAGATTGTTGCAGAACATCCATTTTGACAACCTTCGAGCCCGTCAAGTGTGCCAGCTCCCTGGAATTCTGTGCCTATCTCCATCAACAATAAAAAAGAAGCTTCGGAAACTTAGCTGGAGATTTCAGCAGATCATCGGATTAATTTTCCAGCTTGGGCATGACCCAGCAAGCATGACCACTGTCTTCTCCTCTGCCGAGCTACCAAGAGGTGTCCACTGAGTATCATAGCCTGTTCTATGCTATGTCCGCAATCCACACTGCTGGTCAACCTCCACCTCCACATTCACTCAGGGCTTGGCAAGTGTCTCTGCGTTTGCTGTAGTTGGCTCAAATTCCACATTGAGGCCAGCCAGCTGGATTGCAGCCTTGGGTTGCGAGGACCAGACTTCTTCCAAGACATGATGCTTGAGACACAACATGGGCAACATCCTCGGCACCATCAGACTAGCGCCATGAAAGCCCCTTTGCACTGAGACTGGCTCTGTGGTACCCTTCCCAACCTCAGCAAGTGAGCTTCCAGTTCAATGTTGAGTGTCCAAGTCAGGACGAGAACAGGAAGAAAGGAAGCAAGGAAAGAAAGGGAGAAAGAAGACAATGCAGAAGAACATCAGCGCGCCCCCGAAACTGATGAGGCATGTTTCAAGAGACAACACCTCAGCTTCTGGAGTCCAAGCCTTGTCAAGTCGTGCCACATGATTCTCAATCTCAGACTTTTGAGGATAAGGCAGCAAAGACTGTTCTTCAACTAATTCAAGCTGATGACACACAAAAAGGCTGCCAACCTGATTGAACCTAATCAGGTACTAAATCAATACCACAACACGGCAGCATAGGGAAGTCTGAGTTCCTGACTGAAGCTATTCGCACGGGCACGGGTGAATCAGCACTGGCAAATCACAGCGCGGAGTTGCACAGAAACCTCCTACGCTTCTCTGTTCTGACAGCAATACTACAGGGGCCAAAAATTACCAATATCATGTTGAGGTCCATTTGAGATTGGTAATTGTTTAGGGCCCCTATATTATGTGCTGAATTCTACTGCATTGGCCAAAAACCAGCAGGGAACCTGACCCCTAAATAATAGTTTTCATCTTAATTTTCATGATCCCAATATTGCCCCAATATACCCCAATATTACCCCTATATAATCCCTAAACAGTAGCTCCATTTTCTTTTTCCATTATCCCTATATAACCTCTGTATTACCCCAATGGGTGCATCAAGCAAGCCTGCCTGTACTGAACATCGCCTGTCTCGGTAGGAAAGTCCGAGCCATTTGCAAACCTTTAACCCTAAACCCTAAATCTGCAAAACCCTAAGCCACAAACCCTAAATCTGCAAATCCCTAAACCCTAACTAAATCTGCAAAACCCTAAACCCCAAACCCTAAATCTGCAAAACCCTACACACTAAATCTGCAAAACCCGCCCCTTGCATTCTCGGGATTGCCCGCGGCCTGGCTTCATTCCAGGCTTTTGCAAAAACTCGCGCGGCCTTGCAGGATGACAGGCATTCGGTTTGGGTAATATTGTAGGTTTGTATATTATTATGAAGTATTGCATAGTATACTAAAGTATAGTATAGTATGTTATTTTATAAAATACTATATTATAATATGTTATAGTTATTCTAGTAGAGTTTTGGGTCTAGCTTGAGACGAATGATCGGCCGGTCCCGGTCATGCTCGTGTTGTGTTTCATATGCTCCCTCATGATTACTTACTGCAAGCAAATAGGACCGCGGAATCCAGAGCATGACTGAGGGAAACACACCAAACTCGGTGCACAACAATAATCTCTTGATGGTAGGCTCATGTTTCACTGACATGAAATGCACTACCAAGTACCGACATAGCACCCGGGCCACATCATTGCAGAAGAAGAAGGGCGTGAAGGTCTGACACGGTCGGATTGTCCCTTGCCTCAGGGGACGTGAGCACCACCAAATCCTGGCAACAGCATTAGAAATGGAGAATCAAACAAATGGCACCGAGAATGGAAAATGGCATGGAAAGCAGAAGTGTGTATCGAGGTTGTCTGTTATCTGTGCAGGCTCTCTGTCTCGGAGCTGTGTGCCCCGGCAGGTACACATAAGGGTTATACATAGTGTTATTTAGGAAGCGTGGGGATATTAATTACCCGAAATTGGAGATCTCGCAGTAGAGGTGATGATCGAAGATGCACTCTTGTCCGCACTATTTCTGGGAGCCCTTTCGGCATTAAACAGAGGGCCCAGTCCTCCACGCGCTCTGCCTCGGGTCAAGATGATCCAAAACGGCCACGTAAGACGAGACTAGCGAAGAATAACCCAAACCCCAGCCTGACAGGTGACTGGGCGTCCGACGAAGTCTGAAAGGTAAGCCTGACGGATGTCTTTGGACAATAGTCCCAGAAATCAGGTGCACGTTTCAGCTTGTAAACAGATGCACAGATTGCTGCCTTGTACCCTCTTGCATGCTCAAGGGCTCAGAAACTCAAGCTTTGACATGGGAACGCATCTTGAACCTGCGCTTCAAGCCCCGTAGCTAAACTAGCAGAAGCCTGAAAAGAGCCACACCTCGAACCTGAGTCTCGGTCCACGAGGTTGATTATATTGGAGAATGCGTGGTAGAGAGAGAGAGAGAGAGAGAGAGAGAGAGAGAAAGAGAGGAGGGGAAGGGAGAGAAAGCTGAACAGAAGAGACGGACAGCGAGACGGAGAGAAGCCGACCCTTGATGTTCCTGTTGAGACATGGCTTCATCCGAACATACACATGCAAACATCTCAAGAAAACAACTTGTGGAACTGAATACATCGATGGCACATGAAGGCAGTCCTGCAAGCGGTGGAAATCAGGACCGCAAGCATGTTCAATGCATGGAACCTGCAATGGCGCTGCCAAAGAGCTGTGCTTAGGGTCTTCATCTTCCCTGACCGGAGAACTATCTACCGTCTGTCTGAAAGCTGAAATGAGTGTTTGTTCTTAGAACATTGCCGAAACATGACTCGGGTGTTTCTTAAGACATGTACACATGTCCATGCAAAAGGCTCTTGCGAGAAATCAAGGATCAAGCTCCTAAGTATGAAAATCGAAAAAGCTATATCCACATCACCCAGTCCACCACCTACCAGCACCACAAACAAATATTCTCACACATGGCCGAACCGTACTCGCAACACATGGGGTCATATAGGGAGTATAGGGAACATGCAGGGGTTATATAGGGATAATGGAAAAGAAAATGGAAACTATTATAGTATATTAGGGTATATATTGGGGTTATATATTGAGCTGTGAGCCCGGGCCTCTGCAAGGTGCACCTTTTCCTCTGAAAGCCCAGAAGTATCCAGGGCCTCTGCTGAGGTTTGGGCTCTCCAGCTCGGTTTGCGAGAACTTATATTATTACAGTTGCTATTACTATATTACTATATTACTATATTACTATATTACTATATTACTATATTACTATATTACCATATTACTATATTACTATATTACTATATATTACTATATTGCTATATCCCTATATTACTAGATTACTATACTACTGTTTTACTATATTACTATGTTACTGGCAACAAGATACTTAGACGTGCAGGACTTTCAAGATCCAAATGGCCTTCGTGAGCGCTGTTCGCAGCTTGTGGTTTTCGCCGGCCTGCCAGCTCATTCCCCAAGCCCTCACAGCTGGTCAAGAAGATCTCACAAGGTTTAGGGCTTTAGGGCTTTAGGGTTTAGGGTTTCGGGTTTAGGTTTGAGGGTTCAGGGTTCCACAATTCATGTATTTCGTTGTGCTTGCGTACTTCTCCCCAAACAATTTAGACCACTTGTTGGACAAAGATATCGCCACATATTGCCACACGAGTCTGGGAGATTGGAAGCATCAAGAAAGTGGAACAAAAAGCCATGGATTTCAAAAGCCAAGGAAAAAAGTGTAAGAATGTAACCGTCACAGCGGAACGCAAGGCCTGCCGCGTCAGTGCAACAATGCGAGAATCAGCAGCACCTTTCAAGCAATACTGCAAGACACTCTCATGGCATAGCTTTGGGCATAGAAG